GCTTTGTCACCCAGGCTGGAGTGCAGTGCTGCGATCTCAGTCTCTGCCTCCCGCCTCAGTTTAAGCCATTCTCCTGCCTCAGCCTCCCAAGTAGCTGGGATTACACGCACGTGCCACCATGCCCTGCTAATGTTAAAAAACATTTTTGGTAGAGATGGGGTTTCACCATGTTGACCAGGCTGGTGTTGAACTCCTGACCTCAAGTCTGACTGCCTTGGCCTCCCAAAGTGTTGTGATTACAAGTGTGAGCCACCGTGCCTGGCTGACTTGTAAACTTTGATGTAATTTCAAATTCATGAGAAAGCTGAAAGAGTACTACAAAGAACTCCCATACAGTCTTTACTTAAAGTCACCAAATGTTCACATTTTGCCCCCTCTGCTTTAATTATTCATGCCCTACCATTACACACATACACCTTTTCCCTGAACCATTTAGCAGACAGTTGTGGACCATCCCTATTTCTGAGGGAAAAGTCTAGACATTCCCCTACCTCGCCAAAGTACAGTACTCAGCCTCATGCAATTTACACTATGTCTTCGTCTAATCCATAGTCCACAGATACCATGCAACAGCACTGTATAATCCACTCCACACTCACTCCATCGGCTGTCCTAACAATGTTTATAGAATCTTCTTTTTCCTTAGCCCAGTATCCAGGCCAGGACACCCACTGGACTTACTTGTCATGTGTCTCTAGTCCCTGCTATTCTGGAAGGCTTTCCTTGGTTTTTCATGGCATTGAGATTTTTGAGAGTATTTCCATGTTTTCAAACTATACTGATATACACTCTATGTACCTTATATATGGCATCATACTCTAAATACTGTACAATTCCTTTGCAGTTTGCCCTTTAACATTTGCTTTTATGATACACCCAGGTTGAAACATGTAACTATACTTCCTTTAGCCTCTACTTTCCAGTGAAACTTAACTAGACACAGTATACCCCACAGAGTATTTATCCATCCTCCTGTTGGTGGACATTTCGTTTGTTTCCAATTTGTGGTAAACACAATGTTGCTGTACACATGCTTACACGAATTTTCCCCGCAAATGCTGAGTTTATTTGCAATCTAATCCTAGGAAGGGAAAACTGAGCCATAAGCATGAGCATTTTAAATTTTTCTAAATGCTATCAGACTGCTCTCCCGAGTAGCTGTTCTACTTACACTCCTACTAGCAGCATATTAATGTCCTGCAATTTCCATTTACCATACTGTAACCATTTCCCCAGGATATTAAACTTTTTAATGGTTGTTTAATATCCCTTCCTATGGCTTTGCCAAATTTTATGCAAAGACGCTTTTGCTGCTGGACATAAGCTTGTTTCCTAACTTTGTGGTAGCACAAATATGGTTTTGACAAAAATTTTTTTTTTTTTTTTTGAGACAAGGTCTCACTCTGTTGCCCAGGCTGGAATGTAGTGGTGTGATCACGGCTCACTGCAGCCTTGACCTCCTGGGCTCAAGCAATCCTCCTGCCTCAGCCTCCTCAGTAGCTAGGACTACGGATGTGTACCACCATGCCTGGCTAATTTTTGTTTTGTTTTGTGTAGAGACAGGGTCTCACTTTGTTGCCCAGGCTAGTCTTGAACTTCTGAGCTCAAGCAATCCTCTTACCTTGGCCTCCCAAAGTATTGGGAACAGGTTTGAGCCACTGCATCTGGCAGAAAAAGAGTCTTATGAAAAAATATTTACCATTGGATGGTTTCCTTAGGTGAAATTTCTGGAAGGGGAATTTCTAAGTATGTTCTAAAAGAAATAAGAGATTCAGCTAAGAAGTTATTTCCTCTCCTTCTACAGATCTTCCTGACGCCACACTACCTCATGAGCAATGAGTCAAAGCAGTAAGGAGACAAAGAAAATATTAGCAAAATCTAATTCTATATTTATGTTTAATGGCTTTTAAATAATCTCCCTTCTCACACTGACTAAAGAAGTGATCAGAAATAGTCAGACACTGACGAGAACACTAAAAAAAAAATTATGGGCCGGGCGCGGTGGCTCACGCCTGTAATCCCAGCACTTTGGGAGGCCGAGGCGGGTGGATCACGAGGTCAGGGGATTGAGACCATCCTGGCTAACACGGTGAAACCCTGTCTCTATCGAAAATACAAAAAATTAGCTGGGCGTGGTGGTGGGCGCCTGTAGTCCCAGCTACTCAGGAGGCTGAGGCAGGAGAATGGTGTGAACCCAGGAGGCGGAGCTTGCAGTGAGCTGAGATCGTGCCACTGCACTCCAGCCTGGGCGAGAGAGCAAGACTCTGTCTCAAAAAAAAAAAAAAAAAAAAATGATGTACTAGAGCCTGACACAAAAGAGAGCCCTGAACAATCTCAGCTGGTATTGAAGCCAGCATCGCCCATCTGGGGCTTCAGCATGTAAAGAAGGTCCTGCAGCAGGAAAACAGTGATTATAACATGTCTTACTGCTAGAACTTCACAGAAAGAAACCCATTTTGCAAGGCTGAGGTCTCAGTTGCCCTCTCCATAATGTTCACCACTGTTACGAGTTTCTGTGCCTTCATGAACTATGGGTGGGAGCACACATGATGGAGGTGCACTCTACCAGCAGGAGTATCTACGTGGGTGGATGTGCACACGTGTAATGGAGGTGCAATCTACCGGCAGGGTTATCTATACTAGTGGGTGTGCATACACACATGTGACAGAGGTATACTCCAAATATACTCTGTACTTTTTTCCATTATGGGTGTATTAATAATACCTCCTAGTATATTATTGGAGGCAGCTATACTTACCACTATACCACCAATGCACTCTCTTAGTATACTTTTGGGAGGTAGTGCGTTAGTAGGAAAATCTTGGTAAGAGGAAAAGCTGATTTATGATGCTATGAACATGTAAAAAAAGAAATAAAATTAGAACTAATAAGCAGTTACTCAAAAAGTTAAAAATAGAGCTATCATATGATGTAGCAATTTTATTCCACTTCTGGATATATACTCCAAAGAACTGAAAGCAGGATTTCAGTCAGGCACAGTGGCTCATGCCTATAATCCCAGCACTCTGAGAGGTCCAAGAGGGAGGACTGCTTGATCCCAGGAGTTCAAGAGCAGCCTGGGCAACAAAGAGAGACCCTATCTCTACAAGAAAAATTTAAGAAAAAATTAGCTGGGCATGGTGGTGCGCACCTGTAATTCCAGCTATTTGGGAGGCTGAGGTGGGGGGACTGCATGAGCCCAAGAGTTGGAGGCTGCAGTGAGCTATGATCATGCCACTGCACCTCAGTCTGGGCGACAGAGCAAGACCCTGTCTTAAAGGGGGGGAAAAAAAAGCAGAGTGTTAAAGAGATATATGGACATACATGTTCATAGCATCAAAGCTGGTCTGGGAGCCAAAGGAACTCTAGGGCCAAATGGTTTCTCCTCTCACCCCTGGCCCTTCTCACCCCTCCCATCTACTTCAACCCTGACAACTCGCTCACTAGCTGTGCCAATACTTCCAAGGAGGAGGAATCCAAAACTTCTGGTGGAGCCAGTTCCCCTGTTGGAACAGGTCTCACTGTTGAGAGTTCTTCCTTTCATTCAACTAAAATCTGCTTCTTGGTAACTGGAGCCACCCACTGGAGCTAGCTCTGTCCATTAGATGCTTTGCGACAGAATCGTTTATATTTGAAAACAGTATCCAAGTGCAAAAGAATGAAGCGGGACTCCTTCTTTGCACCATGCACAAAAATTAACTCAAAACAGATCATAGATTTAAGCGTTAAAACTCTAAGACTCAGAAGAAAGCATAGGAGGTAAAACTTTGTGACCCTGGGTTAGGCAAAGCCTTCTTAGATATGGCACCAAAAATCACAAGGAACAAAAGAAAAAACAGATAAATTATGCTTGATAAAAAATAAAACTTTTGTGCTTCCAAGGACACCAAAATTGTCCCATATTTGCAAATCATCAGATACATGGCTCATATCCAGAATATATAAAGAACTCTTACAACTCAACAATAAAAAGACAATCCAGTCAAAAAATAGGCAAAGGATCTGAAAAGAAATTTCCCCAAAGATATACAAATAGCCAGTAAGCAAATGAAAAGACACACACATCACCAGTCATTAGGGAAATGCAAATTAAAACCACAATGAGATATCACTTCACACCTTCTAGGATGACTAGAATAAAACAGACAATAACAAGAGTTGATGAGGACATGAAAAAACTGGAATCCTAGCTGGGAGTGTGGTGGCTCATGCGTGTAATCCCAGCATTCTAGGAGGCTGAAGCGGGTGGATAACTTGGGGTCAGGAGTTCAAGATGGAGTAAGACTCTTTTTTTTTTGAGATGGAGTTTTGCTCTTGTCACCCAGGCTGGAATGCAATGGCACAATCTTGGCTCACTGCAACCTCCACCTCCCAGGTCCAAGCAATTCTCCTGCCTCAGCCTCCCAAGTAGCTGGGATCACAGGCATGTGCCACCACACACGGCTAATTTTGTACTTTCAGCAGAGACGGGGTTTCACCATGTTGGCCAGGCTCGAACTCCTGACCTCAGGTGATCCACCTGCCTCAGCCTCCCAAAGTGCTGGGATTACAGGCCTGAGCCACCGCGCCTGGTCACCCAGTGCTAATTTTTCAATTTTTTGTAGAGAAAGGGGGTCTCACTATATTGCTCAGGCTGGTCTCAGACTCGTGGGCTGAAGCAATCCTTCTGCCTTGGCTTCCCAAAATGCTAGGATTACTTGGTTTTTAATAACAGATGTATTTTTATAATCAGAAAACAGCGAACATCCTAAATAACTCAGAGATGTCATTCTAAGTAAGACTGATGTGAGCAGCAAAGCCTCAGGCTGGTGTGAGGTACCTGGTTGTTGACGACCACGTGCACGGTGCCGTGAGTTGTGTAGGATGGCAGGTCGCTGAGGTGGAAGGTCTCGTACACAATGCCCTGGCCAGCAAATGCAGCGTCCCCATGCAACAGGATGGACATGACCTGTAGACACCAAAGGAGACCCCAAATCCAAAATGTTCTGATTGCCAAGTCCACAAGGCAAACAGAGGAAATGCATCATTTGTTTTTCCAAAAATAACGTTTTGAGATAATTTCAAACATAGAAAGTAGCAGGAAGTCCACAGGGCCCCAAGTCCCCAACATGCTAGCACCTTGGTATGTCTGTTCAACACCAACACATCCTGCCATCATCTGGGAGGGCAGCACTAGCTTAGCCATCCGCCCCAGACCCCACCATGGGAGGGCAGCATCGCTTGCCAGGTCTCTTCAGCTCCTCCAACCTGGAGCAGCTCCTCATCCTTCCTGTCTCTGCACCCTTGACAGATCTTGGGTCCCCATTTGGGAAGGACACGCTGCATCAGATCAGGTTAACTCTGCTCACCTGGGAGGCCGCTGTCTGCTATCCTCCCCTTCACTCACCATTGTTTTCCTTGGCAATGAGTATAGTGGTAGTATTCTGTGAGAATAAACTCTATATCCTGTTCCTCCTCAAACCTCCACCCCAGCCTCAGCAGTATGGACAACTGCGTCTGAACCAGCCCTTTGGGTTGATGGCAAACACCAGTTTCTGTTACTCCTACATTTATTAGTTGGCATTCTCTGCAAGGAAGAGCTTTCCCTTCTCCCTTGTTTATTTACTCGTGTTAATGTGTACTCATGGTTCCTATTTTATTCGACAGGTTGCATTAATATTGTTAGTTATTTTAATGCTCACACTGTTCTAGGTTGATATGGAGAGCAGCTCCTTCCAGCGGCCTCCCTTTCCTGTGAACCGGGACAGGTCTCTTTCATTCATGAGTACTTCCTTGCTTCCTGACCAACAGAACATTGTAGCTTCATGTTGTACTGTCCCTGTCCAGCCCTGTACAATATCAGCTGTTTCTCTAAGAAGCCAGCTTCCTGCAGGAGAGGATAGGATTTAAGACCAGTATTTGTATGCTCATCACTGCCAGGATATCATCATTTCTAGGCCCATTCAGCATAGATCTAAAAAATATATGTGTGCATATGCATGCGCATATATACACAGCTATTTCTCTGTGTATGTGTACGTAATAAAACTGTGAGTTTGTACTGGTACCTCCAAATTTTAATCCAACACTTTCTAGGCCACCTCCTTCCATACCTATAAATATCTCCTACAACTGCAAGACACTCCATCCCCACTGCCTTAGATATGTTTACTGATTTACTCAGTGTCCCCAATGCCACAATCACGTAAGCCCACCACCTCTACTCCTTGGATACACAGCCTATACCTCTTCAAAACCCTTGTATTAGTAAGGGCTCTCCAGAGACAGAACTGATAGGGTGAAGAGGAAGAGGGGGAGAGAGAGAATGATTTTTTTTTCTTTCTTTCTTTTTTTTTTTGAGGCAGGGTCTCACTCTCACCCAGGCTGGAGTGCAGTGGCACCATCTCAGCTCACTGCAACCTCTGCCTCCTAAGCTCAAGTGATTTTCCCACCTCAGTCCCCCAAGTAGCAGGGAATACAAGTACATGCCACCACGCCTGGCTAATTTTGGCATTTTTTTGTAGAGACAGGGTTTCACCATGTTGCTCATGCTGGTCTCGAACTCCTGGGTTCAAGCAATCTTCTTGCTTCAGTCTCCCAAAGTGCTGGGATGACAGGCATGAGTCACCGTGCCTGGCCGAGAAAGACAGATTTTTAAGGAATCAGGCTGGCAAGTGCAAAGTCTGCAGGGCGGGCTGGCAGGTTGGAGACCCACGGCAGAGCTGATGTTGCAGCTCAAGTGTGAAGGCTGTCTGGAGGCAGAATTCCTTCTTTTCTGGGAACCTCAGTCTTTTCTCGAAGGCCTTGAATTGACTGGATGAAGCCCACTCACGTTGTGCAAGGTCATCTGCTTTACTCAAAATCTATTGGTTTAAATGTTAATCTTATCTTTACAAAATGCCATCTAGATGGGTGTGTAGCAAAAAAACTAGACGCTGTGGCTAGCCAAGGTGTTATGTAACAGACCTTCTCCTGCTGTGGCCTCAGCCTATGGGCCTACTGACCTGCACCTCCCTGAGTTCTTGTGACTACCCTGGTCCTCAACACTGTGCTGCGTCATCCTTGGTAGGACGGTAAGACCCATGATTTGTGTGTCAGGGACAAAACCTAGAATTTTTAAAAATAGAACTACAGTTGTCCTGCCTTTGGGTAGATGTGGCAGGTGCTCACTAGGATAGCAGCATGTGGATGTAAGGATCTGGTTTGCTTACAGGCCCCCTTGGAGGTGTGCAGCTTTGCCACGATGCCCAGGCTGCCTGAGTGTAAAAGCCATTGGTTTTGAGTCACTGACATTTCATGCTTTCCTGATCCCCATAGTGTGTTGTTTTTTCCTGCAGATACTTTTCTGTCCAGTCTGTCTTCTGCTGGCACCTGTAGTCAGTCTTCCTCTTGTCATGGTACTTGTTCTTGATCATCTTGGTGATGTTGTACTGCGACCGCCATGCCATACTGCATTGTGGTAATCGGCTGCTGAAATCACAGCCAGGACACATGGGGAATCTCCTTGTGTCTGGCAGCCTGGGCCGTACCTCTGGCAGGAGTGGGTGCTCCCTTTGTGGCAGGTTGCATTGCTGCACTGAGGAAATGCTTTCATGAACAAAGATCCCAAAGGCCATATTAGCACTGAGACAAATCAGGTCTGTTTCACAATCATGCATGAGATTATGGGATGACCTCAGCTGCACTTATACAGAGTATGTAATTCTGCACGAGTGCTGAGAGTTACATAACACACACTTCAGCTCTCTGAGTTCTGGATTTAACAGAAATCAAATCACGTCCTATGGGTGTCAAGAGGAGTAAGAACAGGCAGACGACTGAGCCTGCAATGACCCCACACTGATCCTGCTGGGGACATGGGAGGGCTTGAGGCGAGGTGACGAGGAGGCTCAGAAAGAGGGCTTGGCAGCTATCCATATTGGGGCAAGGGCAAACTTGTGACAACATGGTCTGTGCAGACTGGAAACAAAGGGACTGACAGTTTGGACTCAGCTACAAGCAGGCTTATGAGCAAATCAGGGACTAACCAGCCTCTCCTGTCCTGGCGTCTCATGAAGGGACCAATCAGTGTGACCATCTGTAGCAGTTTAAAATATACTCTATCACTTTTATTCCAATGATTTCATTCCTTTTTGGGAAATTTCCAACATTCTGAGGAGTACTGCTAGAGTGGATTTTTGTCCACAATCTATGAATGTAGGAGTTACCCAAAGTTTTCGGTAATCTCATTCCACTACTCAGCCCAAATGCCTGGGCAAGTGCCCAGGAGGGTGGAAATACCAGAGGCACTAGTCATCACAACGCTGGTCTCCCCATGCCGATCTCGCCTCAGACCAGCCCATCCCAGACACCCAGTGTTGTTACTGCCTGCGGGGGCTGCAGTTTCCCCAGAGTTGAGGCCTCTTTGCATCTAGTTGAAGTTTCTATGACACTGTCCTGGCCCATGAGCTTGAAGCCATGGAATGACCTCTGTGTCCCTGTGGGTCATACTCGTTCTTTATAGCAAGTATTGATAGATGCGAGAATCACTTCTCCAGCCCAGGCTCCATTACCTATGATGGCAGTTTCCCTTCCTTTAACCCTGTGAGCATGACAGTAGTAGATTTACAGTACTTAAAATTACAGAACCTGGTAAACTAATAATTGGTTTTACTTCTTTTTTTTTTTTTCTTTGAGAAGGAGTCTCCCTCTGTCACCCAGGTTAGAGTGCAGTGGTGCGATCTCAGCTCACTGCAACCTCCGCCTCCTGGGTTCAAACATTCTCCCCCCTCAGCCTTCTGAGTAGCTGAGACTACAGGCATGTGCCACCACGCCCAGCTAATTTTGTTTGTATTTTTAGTAGAGATGGGGTTTCACTGTGTTAGCCAGGATGGTCTTGAACTCCTGACCTCAGCTGATCCACCCACCTCGGCCTCCCAAAATGTTGGGATTACAGGCGTGGGCCACCGTGCTGGGCCAATTGGTTCCACTTCTAACATAGACCTGACCTCTTTCCAGGGCACAACTAGGAGGCTGGCCCATCCCTGCTCTGTGTCCCCAGTTTACCTTACATCTTTGCTCTTACATCTCCAGAAAACATTCTTCCCTTCCCATCTCCCTAAATCCTGCCACTTCTCGAATAAAACGACAACTACCTGCTCTGCTGATAAGGGGTCTCCCTTCTATCCTTGGTCCAACTCTAGCCCACACCCCCGCACACCTCTTCCAAAGCTCTTTGCAGCTAACTCCACAGTTTCCTATCACGCTGTATGTGTGCTATTTGCTTCTTTACACATGACCTTTTTTCTAAAAAGAACAGGAGGCTCTGGAGAGAAAAGTGGTGATGCCTGCTTTGTATGTTTCCTAGAACCCACACATAAAACATTATAAATATTTGATTTTTTTTCTGATTATTTGGTTTTTAGGTCATCATTAATAGGAAATATAAAATTTGTCAGACAAGATTCTATCTTTAAGTTAAATAAGGGCAAACTGTTAACAATCTGTTAAGACTATTTCTACACAAGTAGGCTGGTGAGCCCACCCCCAACACTCAGTCACATGACCAGAAATGGTGAAGCAGGACCCCACCTGCCTGCAGCCTGAGCCCTCCTCGGTCTTCAACCAGCCCATGAGCTCCCGCCTCTGATCACAGCAGGCACTACTCTCCTGACAAGTCTCAGTTCTACAATTTCTCCTTCAGGCTCACCTACACTTTTTCCTTACAGAGCCTCTCAGACTCTCCTCCTTTTCAGTGAAAACATCTCTGTCCATTTAGAATAACTGCAAACCTGGCTCCTTCACAGATTTGGTGAGGACAAAAGCAAACTTCCCACATAGTTCTGACAATTACAACTTCAGGAGAAGGAACACTATAAGCAGGACTGTTTTACTATTGCTATTCTTGAAAAGTTGATTTTATATATATACACACACACACATATATATAT